TGCTCCGAAATTGTGGGGCTAAATGGTAGTAAACTGAATCTATATCTTTAATTAACTGCCAAATCAACTTACAGATTTGCATCAAAGAAATATCATCTTCCTCAGACAATCGTAAATGTTTTTTGTGCCAATTGTTTTTGCGATCTCCGGCTTCCACTAGCGGCGGCGGTGGTGAGTGAGTGGGTTTAACACTGTTCTGAACAATATTTCAATTGCATCAATGCGTTTTCCTTTACAGCATGATTATGGTGCCTACAGACAAAACATAATAATTGTGAATCTTGGATTTGATCCCAAGACCGGTCCATGCTAGCCTAAAGAGGTAATTCCGTGAATTGCAATGGCTGGTACCGGTAGAGCAGAACATCCACACACCAGGAGTCATCATTGAAAGTTTAAAATGAGTCGTGGGTGTTGGATTCTATGAATCTGTCCCTTCAGTTTGGGTTGGCCTCTGTTTCTTACCATGTAACAAACATACGACTTGGAAAACCCTGGTGGGTACAACAAACAGAGAGAATGATCCATGGCTGACCAGAGTCAAAGCTGCATCGTACACCTCAATGAGGAAACAATAACAATCAACAAAAAGAGGTAAGACCCTTGAGAATAGCATGCTTAGACTAATAGGGTTACACATAGCATTAAACGCAAAATGGGTCACTTCTACTTTCAAATGATTAAACTTTGTTATTGTTTTCTCAAAATATATTTTTTTGTATTTGCATTCTTGATATTCTGTGTAAATATGCGTGATGCCTACATGCGGTTGTTCTTGCAGATCGGTCTGTGTCATTGTGATAGAAGCATGGGAAAGCTGGATTTAAAGGAATAGGGTGCGCTCGCATCAGAAGCTGGTGTCTTTCAAACGCTTGTTTTGATTGGATCCTGATACAGTACCGCGTGTATAATCTTCAAGTTAACATCAATCGTTTTGGAGATTAACATACTGTGTAGTGCTAGGTAACCAAGCTATACATGGAAACACACTGACAGTATGTTTATATCCATTCTGTCATGACTAAATAAAACGCGAACTCTTGGTGTTAGAACATATGTTGAATGATGACTGGGTTGCGTCTTGAATGACGGAAACACCGACAGCAGCATTTTAACAACATATGGTCCTGTATATGCTCAAGCAGTTTCTCCGACGTAATACTTCACTCGAACATTTTTTCAGGCATTAAAAGCGAGCATGGAGCACAGAAACTTTGAAAGTCAACATGAAGTGGACACCCCTTAAAAAAAACTAGGCAAGACTTGCACAGTTTCGGTCCACACCGCACATAATATTATGACGACACATTGTGAGCGAAACTGATGACGTCACGAACGTATAAAAGAAAAACACCAAATAGGAAGCTCTGATGTCACCCAAACTTGAAATACGTCCTCTTTGTCGATTTCTATAGTGTTCACTGCCAAACTGTATTACCACACATATTTTGGATATTGAAGTAACGAAAACCCTGCATATTGAACCCTTAAAAATGAACATAAACTTTTTTGTGACGCGCCTACCGACAATGACTGAGAAAGAAATACTTTCTACAAATTCCACTATTTCAATCAGAGGTGGTTATGGTGATTTCAAACCTCTGATTAATCAAAATAAGTCTTTTCCAAATTCAGGGTGCAATAATGTTTGTTTATCATACGTAAAACATTAATCTACATGTACACGATAACATGTTTACCTCATAACATGAATATGTATTTTGAAACTAATTGAGAATGACGTCAACCCTTTACCAATCTTTTGAAATGACTTTTCAAACACGTGAATGCAAAACGGACATCAACACATGACAGATCATGGCTCCCATCTTTGATCAGGATTTGACCTTGACGATGAGGCTGAGATTGTCTCGTCGAAGAAACTATTGCTCCCTATAGGTTATCGCTGGAGATGACAAAAGATACTTACTTTGCAGATATTTCGTATGATCATTTGCAAAGTTACCAATTTCAAATGCACATGTTCAAAAGAAAGTATTGTATATCATATTATTACGAAAATGGTTTGAAAGGTATAATAGAATTCTAGTAAGGTAAATACAGAACAGAACAGAGATTTTTTACACTCAGGCGGAGGACCTCGGCATATGAAGTACAAACAGAGATCGCATAGTGAGGCGGACAGAGGATTAGCCGGGAGCTTAATCAGCTTCCATGATTATGGGTGAGTGAGTATGGTTTGCGCCGCTTTTATCAATATTTCCGGTGGGGGGCACCAGAAATGGACTTAACACATTGTACCGGTACCCATGTCGGGAATTGAGCCAGGGTCTTCGTCGTGACTAAAGAACGCTTTAACCACAAGGCTACCCGACCGCCCCAGCTTTCATGAATATATCTGTGACTTTACAAAATTTCATCTGGACAGAGATTTCTTTGAGCATATTTTGTTGGTTCCTATATTTACATATGATATACAATTTACGAGCATCATTAAAATATGTACATTTAAAAATAAGAAGGTATTTATCACCAACATCCTTCATTTCACATTGGCAAGCGGTAATAGATGCTCGAAAGAAGAGAAATTTTAGAGCAAAAAGGAAAGGGAATATTTAATAAACATGATTCAAACTTATTGTCAATTTTGAAGACTCGATATGTTGAACATTTAGATGAATTTGCAATATCCGCGTTCGAAGTTTGCCAATATATATCATGTATTTTGAGTGAAAGTGTTACTTTTAGTTAGGAAGATGATATAAAAAACTATGTGACAGCCAGACATAGCTCAGGCCAGTTTGGCAAAAAATATTTTGAATAAAGGTGAGCCATTTGTGAATTCTACCATTGTTATTTGTATCTTCATACAAGAGCATGTATACAATGTGTGAAAGTTTACTACATTTTCCAGATACAACTTTCCACCAACATGTGATCATTCTTATTTCAATATCTATGAGAAGGGGAATTCTACCAAACTCAAAACAATAAAAAGTTTGTTTTTTCACCAAGACATCAAAGTAGAACGCAGAACAAAGTAAAGATTACAGTTAAACCCAGGTGACAATGTTTGATATCCCGTAACAACTCCCATAACCTACAGACCAATACCATCAGCTTCAGTGAGTGAGTCAGTGTGTACAGTGCGTACGCAGCTTTTAGTAGTATTCCAGCAATATCACGGCGTGGGACACCAAAAAGGGCTTCACACATTGTACCCGTGACGAGAGAACAAAGCTTTAACCACTAGGCCACCCTACCGCCCCTATCAGCTTCAACGTGCGTGGGACATACTTTAAGAAACGTTGACTAAAGGTATCTTTGTTTATCCCTATGGCAGGTAGTTGCATCGATGTCTTAATACACCTGAAAAGGTTACAAAAGAAAAGGCCACACCCTATTTTAACCAAAACACATCGAATTTGATTGTATAGTAAATGACTGGTGTTTGTTCCTAATGTTACAATATATGTATAATTAATTGCAACAAGCAACCAGTTCCTTTCACACACCTAATATAACTGACATAATGTCCACACCTGGCTCAATATCGCGGCGTATCATTTTCAAGGTTCGCCCACCCATTACACCGGCAGACACACGCAAACTATTTTGTCAAACTATCACACTCTTACATTAGTTGTGTAAACATTACCCAATGATAGCGGGAAGGCTCATGCAGTGATATCGCGACCTTTAGCTCCGCCGCTGAGGCAAGTTAAGACGGGAGACGGAGTTACACTTGAAGATACCTTGATCGTGCCCTCATACGTTTCCCAGTGTTACTTCACCGTTAACTAGCTATCAGTTAGAGATAGATAGAAGATGTTCATGATCCATCTTGCATTGTTAAGGACTTTAAGTGTCACAATCTCCAGGTTACTACACAGTATAAAGTTATTGCTGCATCAGTTAATAAGCATTGTAACATGAAAATTGTATACATCCTGAAGGTACTGATGTATGTAAAGCTGAATTTCTGCAAAATCATTTGATAGAAAGGCTTCAATATATTCATGTTTGTACCTTTTTTACAATGAAAATGGATAAACAAATTCTAAAAAAATGAAGAGAATTCAAGGACGTACACTCATTGATGACCGTCGAATATAAAGCTGGTAGCAAACAAAATAGATAGGATTATTCATTTTGTGTTGATTTCTGACAAATGCACAAATTTATGACCACAGTCAAAAAATCAGTCATGTCTACATAACTTATACCTGCAAAACATCGACAGACAGGAAAGGATCCCTTCCCGGGTAATTCCTGAAAGGCAAGGTTACATCCGTACAAATGACATTACCCCGTGGCCATTATCCTGTTACAGTAATACTACATTCCTGATTAACGGCGATGCACTACAGCTGAAAAGCTTGGAACTGTAGCACATATATTTCTGGTATGAAATGTTATTGTATTTCCTGTATTTATAAAGACTACTTTCACAGCCAGTGCTGTGTGAGTGAGTATAGTATTACGCCGTTTTAGCACTATTCCAGCAGCATAACGGCGATGGACACAAGAAATGGGCCTAACATGTTGCACCCATTTAAGGAATCGAACCCGGGCGTTTGGCGTGTCGAGCGAACGCTGTAACCACCAGGCTACCCCACCGCGCTGAGGGAAGCAACAAGAATAGGTTTGAACATTATATATACATGCGTGACTACGTGATGTGAGCATTATGATGTGTCTGGTCATAGTGTAAACTGAATCGATCACCTGATATGGGAGCAACAGTCACGCACTTTGTTATGCGAAACGGTATCCAATCAGTGACACAACTACACCTGTACCTTTGTGTGAGAGACACTGTTCGAGTGTGACAAAATTAGCTGCTGCCGTCGAGTATCGAACACAACGGAATTTACCGCCAAATGATTCGATTACATGGATAAAATATGCAATATACCTTGACAATTGTATAAAATAAAAGCGACAAAGCCCTGTCCATTATAATAGGAAGTATCTGCTAAAGGCAGAGTCCTTTGTACGATTCCGACTACAAGCAAAAGAAGTTGCTTCGACCTTACCTGTACAAAACACAATGTCTTCCTTTAAACCTACACACGGTTGTCTTGTCCTACTCCTATGCACGTTGTTCAATGAGTTATCCCAGATACACAGCACGTTCATACGAGGGTATATCATCTCCCACGCAAAATTCAACGTCTTAACCTTTCACCTAGATAAGCGCTCTATTGTCATTGCAACCGTGAGCCCCAGCGCTCCGTGTTTGATCATTTACTGAAAGAGCAGGTTAATCATTTTAGATAATAAAAACAGCGCGGAGTGTTTGAAATGCTGTGGCATACTTCAAACATGAAACCAATAGGTTTTTGTCGGTGGAAATGCGCGTTTGCGTAGTTATCCCTACGACACGAGATAATATTAAGTCTAAAGGACACACTGTACTGCGAAAATATTTGATTAAAACTGACATTAACCGGTTCAGACTTTAACTGACACGTTTTCGTTTAGGTTCCCATTTTTTAGAAGAGGGGAAATGGGTAAAACCCAACCTTGAGAGAATAAAGCACTGTTTGTGCAATTAAAATAAAGAACGAATACCATGGTCCTATGGCCACAATATCGGGATATCCGTCTAGCTCATATGATGAATTATTTATAAGTGAGTGAGTTGGGTTTAACGCCGCTTTTAAAAGTACTCCAGTCTTATCACCGCGTGTCAGCTTAATATGGGAGAAAAGCCCGAAGTGAAACCCACGAGCACGGGTATGGTGCTGCGAAACCTAGAATCATAATCGGCGCGAACCGGAATTTCAATCCACGATCAAAGGTTTCTGTCATGCCTAAAGGACGCCACTTTGCACAGCAATGCCACTAGTTACTTAATAAATATAAAATGTCAATGTGTCTGACGAAACAGATTTCCTTTGGCGCAAAGGGTAAAATAGCTACAAATTATATGAATGGACGAATTGTTTGATAGGAATTACTAGAAGTTGACGGATGACAAGGTATACAGAATTTTATGGATAACAACTTCTTTAATACTGTAAAAAGCGTCGTTTCGGTATAGATCCTTATACCGTTGTCAAGCAAGACTGAATGAGGGACATAGTACAGAATATATATAGTAGGTGGAGGGTTAACAGTAGAAGATTAACAGTAACAACAATTGCATACATGAGTGGGATAACATGAGTAAATGATGACAACAAAAGGATAATATTGACAACAAAGGGATAATACTGTCACAACACGGTAGACAGAGAACACATTGGTGGAATCCAATAAACAGAATGGACCACGGAAATAAAAATAAAAAATAAACTTAACCTTTGAAACTAATTAGTTTGATTTTTTCTTTTATTCTGGTTTCGATTTCACTAACAGGGAAAACAATTTGCTTTTTTGCTGCGGTTTCTATATCACATGCACATGTATATCATATTCACAAATTTCAAATTTCTATTCAAATGCCATCTGAGGTTTACTGAGAAAAATGTAAAATGAGGAAGAAAATTCTTTAATATGAGTAACACAACGTTTCGGAGTATATGCTAAGTCCTTCATCAGGTGAAATCAGAAACGTTGTGTTCCTCATAATAAAGAAGTTGACATCCATAAATGCTCTTCCTTATGTGTATCACTTCTGAATGCCTTTCAAAGACTTAATATGTGAAATGTTGGACTTCCTCATTGATAACATCAATTAAAATGTGTGAGTAAGACATTTAGGGAAGAAGTAAGCATTCCCATGGGCACCAATTGTGCTCCCATTCTTTCTTTATGCAAATGAATGGGAATTCCTGCTCGGATTGGTCACGGTAATGTGGCAAGGAAGTTTAACTTAAGCCTAAGATATATCAATGACCAGATATCGTTCAATAACCATCAAATAGCCTATTCCCTTCCGCTAATTTACTCACCTGAACTACAAACAAAGGAGACCCAGTGAGTCTGCCTCATCTGTTTCATGTTTAGTTCCATGCATAAAGATTCAGAGTGACAAAACACTCTCAACAAGACTGCATTACAAGGGGTGACTTGAACTTTCCAATCGTCAACTTTCCCTTCCTTTCGAGCAATATTCAAGAAACCCCAGCCTTTGGTGTTCACATTTCACAGCTTCTAGCATGCTCTTTCGAAGACGATTTCAAAGAGCGTCTTACTCAGAAGTTTTTGATCAGGGTTACAACATTCAATGCCTCAGTAAAGCTATCAAGGAGTTTTATGGTGGAGCACAGTTTCAAAATTAACGCAAATGACAAAAATGATGTCCGATGAAATTCCTTGTTTTGACTTTATCCATATGTTCCAGTGTTTTTTTTTCCAGGTAAACAATTGACTTGTCTTTGCATGTGTTTGTGATGGGTGCCACCGGGGGGGCAGGATATGCTCACCTTTTCGCGAACACCTGGTATCATCACTATTTGATAATGATTTCTAGGCCCATGCTCATGATATAGTCAGAATCGTAAATCGACTCTGCTCTTTACAGATATTTCTAGTGAATAGGAAAGATGTTGTGTAGCTTTCAATTTTAAATAGAAGCAAAAAAACCTTTCCCAGATTATAAGTTATTTCTGTTGTACGATTCCGAATATGGTGTAAGAATGTGTTTATGCATCACTTTCACTGAGTAGTGATACCAGCATAATGACACAATGTAAAAACGAACATACTACTAAAGTATGTTAGAAATAACACCTAGCTTGTCGATAAATGCAATGCAACTTCAGAAACTAGATCAAATTCATATTAACCTTTGGAGAAGAATGATACACAAAACCCTTTGTTATCAGATAACCTCGAAGAAGCGTTTCAATGTTCGATCTTCCGCAAAATGAAAACCGATTGAATCATGAAGTCGTTGATTCTCATATTCCGACGTGTCTTGGTGCTTTACTGCCTTGTACATCTCCAAGTAAAATGTTATGGAATGGAGACGCTTGATGGCTGCAGAAACAATGATCTATATACTTTCGTACGTTTCGCTAGCACACAATTTATTTTATAGGCAACGATGTCAGTGAAATGGTCCATTGATAATTTAAGTGAAATGGTCCATTGATAAAACTGGTCCATTAAGACTGCCGTCCTAACTTTGTTCACATATCCCCTTTCACTTATATCTTCGCGCATCTGGTATGTTCGAAGTAATCCTTATTCATTGTTAAAAAGGACTCGGCGACTCAAGGGACAATGGCAACGCTATTCACTACACATTGAGTAAGTGAGTGAGTTGGGTTTAACGCCGCTTTTAACAGCATTCCAGTTATATCGCGGCGTGTCGGCTTAATGCGGGAGGAAAGCCCGGAGTGATGCAGGTCTCGGACATTTACCACTTCGGTGAAACCCACGAGCACGGGCATGGTGCTGACAAACCTAGAAACATAATCGAACCGGGATTCGAACCTACAATCATAGGTTTCTGGCTTGCCCAAGGGACGCGACTCTGCACAGCGAATCGCGGCGCCTTGGACGACTGGACCGCCCGTGCCCCCATTGCACATTGATGCATCTCTCAGCTGTCGCTGAATCCTCGTCCACAGTTTAATCCAAGACTCCGACGATGATCAGTGGTTTGGCATTAACATGCATGTGTTGGTTCGTAAATGTAAACATTTGTTATTAGGCACCAATCGAGCGATACCCACAGACCGGAAGATCTAAATTAACACGTGACTTAATACGTTACAGTGGAACACGACAGTTACAACTGACAGTAAGGTTGTGAAGTACAGCATCGCAAGAAATAGCACCATGAAAAAGCCTTTTTAGGGATAAAGCAGCGATGGGAATGTGTCGATGACTACCTGCCAGCTGACACGCGGTAGTATAACTGAAGTAATGCTCAAAGCAGAGCTTTACCCAACTCACCGAATAATTCGATGCTTAATGACGGTTGTCACTTACAATCGACGACGATGTCTTTCAGAAAGCAGACACGCAATCGAGGATTTTATAGTGGTATATATAAATTGCTTTCTTCTGGCTGATGACATATAGGTGGCCTGTAAACCACAACCTCATTTAATAACAGGCCACCATTATCAATATCTGTTCCTCGTGGACATAGATAGCCATTGATTGATGACATCCCGTGGACACTTGACACGTACTTGCTAAATCCGCTTATTGGCTTACTGACTTATATCATACGTGTAACAAGTCGACTTAATATGAGATGGGATCGTGCTAGTTACATGTCTATTTTCGTAGCGTGTTAATGGAATGACGACAACAGGTATGTTTATCATATATAATATATCACATTGCGACATTATACTTAGAGAGCTTCATGTATTTTCCACCTGCAATGTCGAAGTAATGTGTACTGCTGAGAGCTTTACCCACTAACGTGAAACTTTGCGATCATGTTACTTCAGCGAGTGATTATTTTTTTAGGGTGGTGGTGTATCATAATGGACAGCGCGTTTACCCATCACATCGAACACTGGGTTTTGATTCCTCGCATGGGTGCAAACACTTGATGCTAATTCGCGATGTCAACTAGATGAATTTTCTCACCCACCGACCCACCCACCAACCAATCCATCTACTCACTCACTCAACCACCCGTCCCACCCCTCACTCACTCGCATATGACTATGTTTGTCAGCACCATACCCGTGCTCGTGGAATTCACCAAACTGGTGGTAATCGCCTAAGACCTGCACCACTTCGGGCTTTCCCAACATCGTACTGATACGCCGAGACAACTGAAATGCTACTCAAAGCGAGGTTAGAGCAACCTCACTCACTCTAACACATATACATTGTATAAAGGAACCTGTTTTAATAAATGAGACATTGCTCTTACTATCAACCACTTGTTTTTTTAACAGGTTCATCAGCAACGTTGCTGCGGACAAGACGCAACTCCGTTACCTCTTTTGCATGACAATACGACATAATAACGAAGCCTACCACAGATGATATCTATTTGAGCATTCCACAGTGGTTTCCCCTGAAACTGAAGACTGAATCTGAAACAAGTGATGACAGTCATCAAATACAGGCAAGATGACAGTCATCAAATACAGGCAAGACATATCACAGCGTGAAGATTCCGATCACTTCTCCGCGTGATTATAGCCATGGACGTGGATATCATACCATTATGAGAATGCTGAAGAAGATGTCACGACTTAACTAAAGAATGCAACGTAAGATAACATTCATTAGAGCTTCGACATTTGCGTGACAGAATTGAT